ATTCTTGTCAGCGAAATGCGCCACGTGTTTAATCTTTGGTTTAAATATTAAAGAAATCTAACTCCTCTCGTTACCTTGTCTCTTTTTATCTGCTAGGCACCTTCGGCAGCCCCGGAAGACGCGGCCGGCAGACATACACTCGATACCAAACCCTGGAGCTGGAGAAGGAATTTCACTTCAACCGGTACCTCACGCGGCGGCGGCGCATCGAGATTGCGCACGCGCTCTGCCTCACGGAGCGACAAATTAAGATCTGGTTCCAGAACCGGAGAATGAAGTGGAAGAAGGAGAACAAGCTCATTAACTCGTCTTCTTCCTCCTCTTCCTCCTCTTTCACTCTAAATGGTACAGATGAAGAGGAGAAACGGACGGAGTGAAAGAAAAGAAAATGACCTGGGACATTAAAAGCAAGAGAAGGATGGAAGAAAATTCATGTTCCAGTGTGTTTGTTAGGTGTGGACATTTTGTGAGCCCACCGCTCCGTTCGGTTCCGTCTGACACTAGGCCGTGTGGATCACAAAAAGGAACGAGATGCTTTACATTCTCTAAAAAGAGTCTCTAAGTGCTGTCTCATTGAAAACAACGTTTTGACCCACTTTTGATTCGGAGCTGCTTCGTCTTCTATACTTTAAAAACAGAAAAAAAATAACTCTGGTAAATCCTACATATTTACTAAATGCTGAAACTTTAGGAGGCTCGGCAGAGCGGCGGCCATGGAAAGTAAATAAAGCAATAAAGAAATAGAAATGACGAACCAACACACACACACGTGTATATATATGTGTATATATATATATATATATATATATATATATATATATATATATATATATATATATATATATATATATTATATATATATATATATATATATATATATATATATATATATATATATATATATGTTTATAGTTTTTTTCTCTCTGCATATCGGGTTGTTTTCCATGTAAATTCAGGATAACAATGAAGCTTCAGGTAATATTGTGGCTCGTGGCTCAGATCGTTTGATGCCGGCGGTGCTGATAAACGGTGGGTTATGGGGCGGATGGTGTCTCAAAAAAAAAAAAAAATCGTGATCTGCAGCATTCCAAAAGCTACCTAAGTTATATCGTTTATGTTTGTTTGTTTGTTTAATTTTGTTTTGTTTTTATCTGCCCGGCACGTGCTTTGAAGGAAACACTTTCCGGTCTGGTCCTTTTTTCTGTTGGCTGTAATGTCGTTCAGTTCAAGCTGGGATTGTGTTCCACACGTAGTAAAAGCACGGGAAGGCAAAGGAGTGGATGTATGTCATATGGTGTACATATTGTAGCTAAAGTATACAGATTTAGTTGAGGACATGCTCTTTTCGTATTGTGCCAATTATTCAACTTAAAAGGTCTTAACGGTTGTTTTCAGCTATTATTACTTTTCCACTTGGTTGTACAAAAAGTGCGCGGAGGTGTTGACCTACTGATTTTTTTCTCCAAACTACCTAAACACCTTCAGGGAATGGTAAATTTGATTAAATTTGTTGCTTTCTGTTCGTGTTTTTGTCAAGTAAGTATACTACCTATGAGAAATGTACAATAAACTTTAAAGAAGTGTATGCAATGTTTTATTTATTTATTTATTTATTCCCGTTTTTTTCTTCCTTTTTTGAGTATAGGGATGCATGTTGTCAGATTTATTAACCAACTCTGACAAAGTACTTCCATACTGTAAGGTTGAAAACAGGTTTATTTCAAGATTAATGCTTTTTGTCCGTTCACGTCGGAGACTAATAAACCTTTTAGCCTTTTTCATGTAGGCTAAAAACATGCAACACATTTAAGGCGCGGGGTCAACGCTGGGAGTGGTGGTTCTATTGCCGGGGCTGGAAGTCCGAGGCTGTGCTGTGCAGGGCCAGTTAGGTGGGATGCTCTGCAGGGGAAGTGACGGCGGAGTGAACTAATTAATGAGCAGATCCCGGCAGAGAAAGCTGACCTGTCCTCAAGCAGGCCAGCCAGACACATTGCACATATACACACACACTGCACCCAAACAAAGTGGACAATGTCCTGGTGACCTTTTGAACTGTGCTTGTCCCCAGAGTGACCGGAGAACTGACCTCCATTTGAGTTTCGCTGATGCAGCACATGGTCAAAAATAGTTTCTGTCTTCATCTTCTGGCTGTGAATCTAAACAGGATCACACCGACAATCAGCATGCATTCAGTTCCCAATTCCACTTTTTATCTTCTTTGACATAAAACTTTTGTCATAGAATTTTATTAAAACAGTAGGATTATGGACATTTTTTTATACATGGCTGAAAACAAATTAGTTAAAAAGTGTTTCACCTACTGGATTAACATGTTTTAAGACACAAAAATGTATTTGTTATGGTTCAGTTTTTTATGACTATATATTTTTTTAACAAATATCATCATGTTTACTACGAAACATAGCAATAGCAATATCAAATAATAAATATCACAGTTAAATAAAAGGTGTTTCACTGTCGGCGAGAAGAATGTCAAAATGAATAGTCACAGGTAGCAGCTGTGCCCCCCACACACTACCCCCTTCATCCCCCCCATTAGGATGAGAAGTGGGATTCATTGCTGTTTAAATTCAACAAGCCTTTTTACTCTTACTCATGCCATCTCTGACTTTGAAAGTGAATCATCTTAAGAGTTGCTCAAAAACAATAAGACAGTGAAAGACGGTGTAGAGCAGAAACAGTTCTGCTCTGAGTCAAAATAAGACATGCAAAGTACATCACCAGCTAAATTTCTCCCTTGCTAAATAAAAAAAGAGTTTTTAGGAGTAAGCTTGTATTACAAAATGTTCATTAAGATTCAAAATTACAGTTCCAACTAAAAAAATTCTAAAAGGAACAGTGTCTTAACATATGAGAAAGTTGCAGATGAGGAGTTTGTCTTCAAAGAATGTGCCTGACATATGTTGGTCTATGCATGAAAATTTAGTAGAGGTATTGGATGATCTTCACAACTTGAGAAAGCTTAAGAAATTAAAAATTGTGCTAAATATGTTTTAAGTTGTTTTTTAAATGCATGACCTGAACTTTGAATTCCTTCACTCTGTTGTCCAGAAAAAAATATAGATCAACTAAAATAATTGATGCATTATTATTCTTATTCTAATTCTTATTCTTATTCTTATTCTTAAGCTTAAGCTTAATAATTATTATTCATCCATACCTACATGATAACAGTGTCTCAAAGCAGCTGGGTTTTTGGAGCGCGACTTATAACTGCCTATAATACAGGATGAATTTTTGATTTCCATTAAAAAAAAGTGGGATCCCTGATCTACTCCCTGCTTTAACCAGTGTGTCAGAGTTGCAAGAAAGCATGAACACTCTGCATGCTGAGGCCAACTTAGACGCACACAGGCACTGTGGCCTGTAATACATCCTAACGCAGGAATCAACAAATCATAAATCAGTAGATTTCTACCCAGTGTGGCTGGCAGAGATCAGGTTTAACATTCCACGACTGCAGCTGAGGAGAAAGGAGAGGAACAGCTTAGAAAGGATGGCGCTATGTATATAGTGCTGGAAAGAAGGAGAAAAAAAAGATGACTAAAAAATATATTTTATAAAGTTGCGTGAAATATAGCTAAAGTAAATATGTTTTCCTGTACAAGTCATGGAAGAGATTGGTTTATTGCTTATGCACGACCTTATTCTCCGGTTCGCTAAAACAATTTAGTTTTATTGTTTTTTGTTGTTGTTATTTTGTTTTTTTTACTAAAATACTTCATGAAAAAGTTTTGAATACTGTGTGCCGCTGACCTACAGATGAGGAGAAGGTTGCAATAATTCATAAAAAGGGAACAAAAAGGAACGTTCTGCATAAATCACCAGCTGACTGACACGTTTATGTTACTTCGATCGTTTTCTAAATATTATGTTATTATTATTATTATTATTATTATTATTATTATTATTATTATTATTATTATTATAAAGCTACAGTTCTAGTCGTTTGAAATTGTATTTTGATGACGTAATATTTTCATGATTATTCCGGGTTTTATTATTATTATTATTATTATTATTATTATTATTATTATTATTATTATTATTATTATTATTATCAATATAATAATAATAATAATAATAATAATAATAATAATAATAATTATTATTATTATTATTATTAATAATAATAATAATAATAATAATAATAATAATAATAATAATAATAATAATAATAATAATACAGAGGGAAGTAGACTGTGGTCTTTGTCCGTATGTTGAGTATTTTTCCTTCGTCTTGCCTATACTTTGCTCCCTCTCTAACAGTCAGTTAACAGGTCATGCTGGTATAACTGGATCGGTTCGATGGTGTCAGTGGGAAGATGAGGGCACGTGTGGAATGAATTTGTAGTTTTACAATGGCCCAATATGACTCGTTTGAAAGTATCATTCGTTTTTCACTCTGCCCTTCTCCTAGTCCTCCCAATAAGTGCAATAAATTATATTTGCAGTAGGTGGCGCTCTTAATTCACCCCAGCACCTCTTTTAGCCGAAAAAAGGGATGCGCAAAGAGGGAGAAGAGGAGCGGCAGCTTTCCCCCGCCCAAGCCTTCATCATTAGAAACCTCAGAGCATGAATTACCTCTGCAAAGTCATCTGCGAGAATTTACGACTGGTCTGCAAAATCACGTGACCACACCCCCTCCTGGTCTGTTTCTTTCCCTGTCTCCTCCCTCACCTCACCCTTCACCTCCCCCACGACACACACATACATACACACACACGCATACACACATTTAGATCCAAGAAGCACACACAATCGCCACCCCACCCCCATATTTGGACGGCGCATAGCTAAAAACGAAGTACAGTGCAACGCCATAATTCACTAATACATCATAAATCGTTGAAAGTACCCGCGTTATAACGACCTAGAGAAATCTAACAAATCAAGCCCCCTCCTCCCGACTACTCAGTTGTTAGCCTGTACTCTGTAAAACAACTAAATGAGTTCTTACTTTGTAAACTCGTTCTCAGGGCGCTACCCGAATGGCCCCGACTATCAGCTGCTAAATTATGGAGCCAGCAACGGCGCAATGAACAGCGGGACGTACAGGGACTCCTCCTCTGCCACAATGCACCATGCGACTGGCTCTTATGGCTACAGCTACAATGGCATGGATCTGACCGTAACCAGCCGAGGAGGGGGGGGCAGCAGAGCCGCAAACACCGGAGGACACTTCGGTGGAGGCTCGGCGGTCGAGGATTCCAGAGGCTTCTGCTTCAGACAGCCGGTCAGTTGCTCGCTTGCTTCCCCGGGAAATTCTCTCTTGGCAGGCGGTCGTGAGAACAGCAAACTGGGCACACAGAGCTCGTCTCCCCCCTCAGAGCAACCAGGAAGTAGCAACCTCAGCTCTCCAAACCTGTGTTCATCCACGATGGCCGGCGGCGCGGCGCGGCGTTTCACAGAGATTGAAGACGCTTCACCAGACAGCGAGGACCTACTCCTTCCTCGGGAAGCCAGTCATGGGAGTAATCCACGGCCCAAAACCGGCCACTCGCAAGTTGTTGAGAAACAGGAAGGGAGCCCGGCGGGATCAGCTGCTGGCAGTCTGGGCAGCGACGCGCAGACACCCCAGATTTTCCCTTGGATGAGAAAACTGCACATTAGCCATGGTACATTCTGACTCTTGGCTTTACAGTTTATATTTTTATTTGTATGTTAGAAGTTGACACTGAAAGGTTTTTGAGAGCATGTAATAGATGTAAAGTTAGATTCCAGCTCGTGGAGCTTATTCAGGGGGTCACTGTTTCTTCCATCTACACAAAATATTTAGCAACAGAAAGCTTTCATATAATTTGAGTACAATGAAAATGATAAAATATTAGACGAACAGCAACATTTTTTCCTTTTCCTTTTGCCTGTAGGTATCTTGGGCCTACGCTGCGCAAAAAAAAAAAAAAATAAATAAAAAAATAAAAAAAACATCAGTTATAAAATTACAAAACGAGCCAAGGTTATTACTGTTTTCATTTTTGCATGATTTCATTTTCCCGCTAACTGAACTCTAATTGAAAATTGCAGTCCAACTAAAGAGGACAGGTTGCTTTATCAGACGCAATATTCTCGCATGATGACCCAACTCCCTTTTATCATTGCACCTCGGAAGCTTTGCTTGGATTATTGTCCCGTCTGTCTCTTCGTTTTTTTTTTTTTTTTAAGTCTCACAGAAACGTCATAAATCTGTCAAAGGTAAGGCGAGTTGGACTGCAAAGCCCAACATGCCGGGTAGTACACACAGGACCGGGTGCGAAAAGCGGCAAGGAAACAAAGAATGAGAATATTGTCCAGGCTTTAAAGGTGGCCTGCCCTTTTAAAAAGTCGGCCTTTATTAGATGTGGAAACTTTATTAAAGAGGTGAGCCAATAAAACCTTTTAGGGATCTGGGGGGAGTTGAATGGAGGGAGTGTGAGGTGAGGGAAATCTTTAAAAATGTAGACAGATGTAAAAAAAAAAAAAAAAAGTATTGAAGAAATAATTCAAATGTAATAAATAGAGTTCATATAATGGGAAGAAGATTTTCCGGCTCTTAGTGCGCTGCTTTTAACAACACTTTTGCCTGCTGAGCTTTTCCTGTTTATTCCGCCTATGCACAGTGACGCAAACACCTGTAGCTACAATGGCAGATGCAGTTAAACAGAAATTTCGTGATTTGGGGCCACACCTCGTATTTACAAAGCTGCTGTAAAACCAGAGGGAACCTGGACAATGTGCATCCAAGAGGCTCTAAATGTTGCCTGTTTCCCCTAACATTGACGATGCTCGTTTTCTTTTTGTCACACATGGGGCCCTCTGTCCTAACAGCGTTGTGTTCCTTCCAAACCCCTCAGATATGACGGGCCCGGACGGGAAACGGGCGCGGACAGCGTACACCCGCTATCAGACTCTGGAACTGGAGAAGGAATTCCACTTCAACCGGTACCTCACGCGGCGGCGGCGCATCGAGATTGCTCACGCGCTTTGCCTCACGGAGCGACAGATCAAGATCTGGTTTCAGAACCGGAGGATGAAGTGGAAGAAGGATAACAAGCTGAAAAGCATGACTTTGGCCACGGCTGGCAGCGCCTTCCAACCGTAGGAGTAAAATCCCTTTCAAAGAAGCTGGTCGGTCAGCTTGATGACTTGTTATCTAAGACTGGAGGGAGGGAGGCAAACAGGATAAAAAGCGCAAAGAAATAATAAAAACCAAAAAGAACGTCAACATAGAAACTAAAATGGAAGGCCTGCGGGACTGGAGTAAAACCAGGGCAATGAAGAAAATAGTCTAGGATAAAGAGAGACGTCAACTTTTGATTTATAAAACAATGTATGTTCTCAGATTAGAAGCTGTATGCAGTACAGCAGCGCACTTTTCATTCGATTCTATAGCGGTGATTCAGGGCTACAGAGGAATAATGACTGGTACTCTTATGAACTGACAGCCAACACACAAACACTACTACACACACACACACACACACACACACACACACACACACACACACACACCACACACCACACACACACACACACACACACACACACACACACACACACACATACACACACAAATTCTATATATGTGTGTATAGAAGTGGTACACACACATATGTAGTAGCGTGTGCCCGTCTGTGTCGATATATAAAATATCGATTGACCGACTTCAGGTCTTCTTTCCAGCCGTACTATCCGGCTACGGTGTGTCTGATGTGTGTATAATATTATTTCACTTGTCCAGTGGATTATGTTTCTATTGCAACCTCAACTCTTGAACAGGTCCTGTAAGTTATTTCCACCCACTGAAACTCAAACCCTTCTTGTTTAAATCTGCATCCCCCTCCCGTCCACTCACCTTGCCACAGTGTTGTTACTACATCACTGACATCTGCACTCATATTTACTGTGGAAGAAGGAGAAATGTTTGCGCGAGCGTGTTTGTGATTGAGAGTGTGTCGATGTGTGCGAATATGTGTACTTGTTTGTGAACAATGGCATTCACGTCTCCATCCCTTCTTATTGCTGTATATATAATTGAAATAAGTACAACTGTGCCATATTGTTGTTATTGTAATTTGTTGATTTGTTGGATATGTCATATTTGATGTACACAGTTATAGCGACATTTTGACTCTTCGCGGTTACTTTATGTGAGTGAGTGGATGTGTGAAATCTGTGTGGTATTGTATCCCTGTAAACTCTGTCAGTGAGCTTTTTGTAGTTATTTGTAACATTGAGTAAAACATAATTATGAATAAAGTTTCTCACTGCAATCCAGACCGGACAGCATAAGGCTTCGGTTTACAATCAAGAAAAGGAAATAGTTAAGCAGTACACTGTGGAGCCGAGTTCTCTCCAAAACGTTTACACACCTACGTTATTTTTACACCAAGACGTCATGGTAGCTATGTAATTATTACATATTCAATGTCTGATATTTTGCGTTCTGCTCAACATTCTCTATCTTTACATCAAATTCACTTAACGGTCTTCTCTATTTTGCAGGCCTATCTTGAACCATGTGCCTAGAAAGTCTATGGAAGCGTCTTCATGGATACAGACGGTGTTCTAGCGCAAAGCTTCCCAGTTGCAGAAAGTCCACAGCAAAATGCACAACCAGCTGGTCAAAATGGGACAGTTTTCTCCTGTTGCCCTGAGCGGATACAATAACAAATGATCGGCAGTGGACAAATGCGTCACGTTTCAGCCTTTTCCGCCTTGAACGGATGCTGCTTCCAAAGAAATTAAGTTACCTTCTCCTTCTACTGGTTTCCACTTGTAAACAACCGAATGAACTTTTAAACTCACCGACTGCTGGTACAGTTCCCTTGCTTTTCTTTCTGAGCTACTCGGTAGTCAAATGGGTCCTTCTTCGAGGCTCATCAGGACACCGTTTCCTGGCTCTTTTTCGTGTCTGTATGCGTTGGTGTATGAAGACATGCATAGATTTTTAAACTAACCCCAGCCTGGTTTGGGCCACACTATAAAATGGAGGCAGGATTGACATTTACGTGTCAAACAGATGAGGGTTTTTATCTCCAAGTTGGATCGTAAAAATCTGTTCTGATTCCTCTCACTGGCTCTCCTCTGGTCACGTGGGGTCCATAAAGTTAGTTTTATGGTTTAGGGGAGTTGACAGTGTACTATGTATTTCACATTCTAGAAAGCAAGTGACGGTTTAACGGCTTTGTGTGGATCCTAAAGGGGTCAGTAAAGTAGAGCAGAGGCAAAGACGCAGTGTGTGCGCTTGCGTGCGTGTGTATGCGCGTGCGTGTGTGAGTGTGTAACAGAGAAAAAGAGAGAGAAAGAAAGGGGGATGTAGAGAGAGAACAGGCCTCTATTAGCCGCAGCTGTTCTTGCTCTGGTTCACACTTGGAGCCCGGAGATCTCCGCTGTGGTCTGCTGTGGACTCTGGGAAACGCAGGGGGGGAAGGACAGTCAGGACGCACAGTGAGTGGAAGAACGCCTCCCGGTAAGTGGGAGCTAAGGAGAGAGGGGTGTGTTTGGTAAAGTGGGAGATGAGGTTGTGTAATTAATGTGTCACTCACTGTGAGCAGTTCTCCTGTTTGGAGCGGCCACCAGCTCCGGTGGACTTCAGGTAGCCTACATGTGACACCTGCTCATGAGGCTGGTGCTGCGAAGGTCCGGAGGCTACAGATGGAGAAAAACTGGACTCGTTTGAGCGCTGTTGTCTGTAGTCACAGACACGTGTGTCGCTTTATCTATAAACCTGGCCTGTAAATGCAAGAGCCTGGTTGAGGTTTTAGACGTGTGTTTTTTTTTCTTTTTTCAATTTGTAATGAAATATTTGGAGGTCTAGTTCAAAAAATTCGTTTAAAGAAAATAAAGTTATTCAAAACAAAAGTGCAAGAAGATAACATTTTTAGTGGCACAAAACAAAAAGAAAATCTGATCCATATCTTCTTCTTGGCCAAATTAATCAACAGTTTTTATGCACAATCATCTTGTGCGCGAAGGCGTTTGAGATAGTAATTGGTCATTATAAAAATATTCACATCTCTGCATTCATAAAGATCGCTCTAGTTGGTGACATGCGTCAATGGGAAGAAGCGAACCTCTGTCTGACATCACTCTCGTGTTTCCCGGGCGGTTTGGGTGTGACAATAAAAAAAGAGAGAGAGAGAAATTGACGCAAAGATTTCAATGTTCTACATCTGAAACCTGCTTCTATATGTTTTATTTCATTCTGAACGCATAAACACATTCTAAACCACAGTAACACGAACCTAAACACACATCCGCAAATACAACTCTAAACCTGCTTTTATTTGTGTCTATTACAGACAACAAAAAGTAAATAAATAAATAAACGATGCTAGATTCTTCTTCACTTGTGCAGCCAGGAATCCAACCGTCAAACTTAAAGGAATAGTCCGAACTTAAGGAAGTGCAGTAATATGGACTGAGTTCATTTCATGTAGCAAAATGTGTTTCCATGATATCAGTTGCAGATGTTAAAGCTTCGAAAACACTGATTGAATGTTAACTCAAATTTAAACACGTTTGCGAATGAAACGAATCCTGCCCTGGTGCACAACCTTCAGCAAAGCTCAATTAAACTATTTCAATTAATTGATGATCATTAATTAAAACGATAACAAATAATATAACCGTGCGAGTCTGTGTGTGTGTTACTGTCACTAAAAATAACACACACAAACTCACAAACACACGCATATATATATATATATATATATATATATATATATATATATATATATATATATATATATTATATATATATATATATATATATATATATATATATATATATATATAATATATATATATATATATATATAACAAATGTAATCAAAATAATAGATTTTATGTAAAATGACATATTTTTACATACTTTTTCTATTGGTACTTTCTGCTCATTTCTTTGCTTCTGTTGGCCTTTGAACAGGGTTTTATGTTTACAATTATTGCAATACAACTGCAATTATTAGCAACTATAATTTTTGAGAAGTGTTGTCAATGTTAATATAAACTAATGAGTTATGAAATAAATTCATAAAACAATATTTAGTTTTGTATGTGTCCTATCTAGAAGAGGATTTTGAATTTCTATGGGAACTTGTTTGAGGCTCGGTGAGTTGGAGCGCGCGTTCTGGGACTGGCCCGGGTCGTTGAGGAAGTTTCAGTGCAGTAAACAGGAAGCCAAAAAACCCTCCCTATTCCATTTTTCATCAGCTTCCTCCCTTTAATGATGATACAGGATCGCGGCCCGCGGCCTCGGGCCCCTGCCGCTCTCCTCCCACGCAGCTCTCTTCACACTTCCAGCTCCCTGCGGCGCTCAGGCTGGTTGAAACATACATGTCTCTCCACTCAGGGAGCTTTAGAGAAACTTTCAAATGGACAAGCAGAACAGTGAGCTCCTTTTTTTTTTTTTTTGCTCTGTGTGTGATCGGTTTGTCTTTTATGTACACAGGGCAGTTCCACTCAGAAGTGCCGCCTTTAGCTGTTGTGCATTATGTACATTATGTGTATGGGCTTGCTGCTTGTTTGAAGCTGTCAGAGGGGCTGGGTTTGTGTAGGTGATAAAAAGTGGAGTTAGCAACTATTGAAACTGACCCTTTATTGCCAGGCTTTGCAGAAGGCGTGAGTCTGACGTGTTAGGGAGAGTTGTGGGCTTCCTCTGGGATGCATCTTGCTGTGTTTAACTGCTTAAGGGCTTCAGAGGAAGTGAAACAGGTAAACGACCGGGGTTAGTCTTTCGCTTTGTGTTTCACAAAGAGCAATACTCTCTTCAAGAAATCTTTTGAATATCTGCAGTATTTTTGTTCATTTTGGATACAGAGGTCTGCGTCACCACAGACAAAGGAAGCTCAGAGATTAGAGGTCGGTCAGCCGTCCTCTTTTTACCTCACCCGCCCATTTTACTCCTTTGCTGCAGTTTGTCTCCTGGGCCAGAACCTATTGTCACTGTTTCAGTCCTGCGTTTCATCTGGCATTTAACATTATTCTGTTGATTCCGAAACGTCACAGTTCGCGTGCTCGGAGACCCATACGTCAGGGGTGATGGCCTTTGGACACTGATAGGGGTGAAAAGTTCGGTCAGGACTCATGAATAATGAACGAGACGGAGTCACCGCGAGGTCAGCAGACAGGCTCGAGCCAAGCAAGAAAACGAAGACTCCTGCGCAAGCGCAAAGTCGAGAGAAAGCTTCTGCTAACATGGGGGAAAGGTATTAACAGTCGGCTGCTTTCAGAAGTGTCCTCTATTTCCGAATCAGATGTCAGGAGGGTGTGAGACAAACAACAAACTTCCTCTTGTCTGGCTGAGTAAACATTGTCAACAACAACTCAGTTAGGTCTGATAATAAAGGCTTTTGATCTATTTATGTGGCAATTTAATACGCCATATTTTAAGTCGATGAATTTCATTTTCGCATAAGACGAATACATGTTTATGTGAAGACATAAACTGAGCTGAAACACTCGGCAAAAACAGTTCCACAGAAAATGCTGTCAGATGTTTT